CCATGTATATAAACACCTATCATGACAGGGCACCCACAGCCAAGTAACAATTACAAATGAATTAAGTTGGCACGGCGGCCCGCATTGAAAATGACTTAGGCCTACCTTTGATGATCAAATCACTTAAACACAAAGTCCATCCTCCTGTCCTTTTGGATGAAGCACTTGTGGGTCATTCAGATGATCCTTTGCCACTCCAGTTTATCATTGTAACTCAATCTTGAAAATGACTCGGTTAATAATTTCGCAACGATGTCATCACTATCACTGAAGTGAGCCATCATGAACGAACTTATGCTAATTATAAATCTATCGATCATAAATCTATCAATCATAAATCTATCGTTTAGATTTATGATTCGAAAATGGATATTATCCGGCTGAACAAAACGTGCATTTATCTAACAGGTTCGTTTTCCACAGACCTTATTTCGAGCTATTTTCCAAAATCCTATGGAGAAATCCATTGCTCTTTTGTCGAGGGAATCTGAGTGAAGCTTACTTCCGGGTTTTAGGGCGCGTCACTGCACCCATAGATATATATAAACACGTGTTTATATATATCTATGGCTGCTTCTCAGGTCGACTATTTTCATTTCCTCGCTCCTCGGTCCTCGGTCTCACCGGAAGTTGATTTGCCTGCGCCATCTTGAGTACCGTCCCATGGCTCTTATTTCTCAAGGATCGAGGAGCGAGGAGCGATCATGGAGGAGCGATAACCGAGGAATCACCAGACCATCCTCCGATGAAATCCTCAGATACTCACCCCGCCCCCTTACTGTGTATCGCTCACTGATTGGACGAGGCAGTGCATGCACTGATCTGATGCTTCTTGACATGAGAGCAGAGTGAAGAAAACACATGAACCTCACGGGAGTCACTCCTCAGTTTATACCGTGTTTTGTTTCAATTCATGTATCATTTAGTTACAAATATGTGATATATCTGAACAACAAAGTGGTCAAAAATCATTTAATTCATTTTTTGGAAACATTTTCATGATCGCTTTTTTCGTTTTACATTTTCATTTATTGTCATTTCCATTCAGTCAGTCATTAAGTGCTATTGAAATGTTAATGTGCTACATATCCACACAAAGTGTGCAATCCAATGAATGTTAATCTCACTGGGTTTTGATAGATAACATATCTCTTTTTCTTCTCTCAATTATTTTATTTCTATTGTGCACTCTAATCAATATTAATCTAACTATTGTTCGTTTATAAATTTTAAGAATGGCGTTTATCTTTTTTGAGAATTAGTTCTTATTTTATTTTTATTTATTTGGGTCTACAACAGATGATACAAATGTTTGTGTCAGTAAATGTGTACTAACAGAGGCGGGGGGGTGTGTGGAAATAACGGGGACAGAGCTGCTGTCAGACGATCAGCTGTGCAGCGTCATCACAAACGGACGTCGCTTCACGTGACGCTCCGGAGGAAAGGACGTCCCATTGCTCTTAAAACTAATTTCCCTGCTTCTCGTGGTTCTATTTCGTCCCTACTGACCGCCAGAGGCGGTGCTTTCAGCACTGGATATGTCCATCGCGCGCATGCGCAGCTCGAGTACCAATACCAACAAAGTCACCTGTGACCCACGTGACACCGGCTATATCAGCCGGTGTCGTCAGAGGATCTGTTCCTTTCATCTTCTCGCGGCGCGAGGGTACCGCGGCTACATTTTTGTAGCCTACAGCGTTCAGGTTTGAACGTTTGATCTGAGGGATTTCTCTGCAAGCAGCTGGCCGCGTGCAGCTTCGTGACTGACAGTCGGAGCTACGGGTCGTTAACGCGTCCTCCAGGAGCTGTGGCCGGCTGTGTGCTGTGCAGAGCCTCGACAGACAGGTTGGTGTCAGCTTGTTGCTGGTGATGGCTGTGTCCCCGCACCCTCTCCCAGCCAAGTTGTCCTGATTGCTGTCTTATTTTTTGTTTGGCTTAGACTTTCTGGTGACGACAGTGTTCCCGCTTCCTCTCCCATAAAGTTGCCCTTATAGTCAGGTTCATTATAACTTGATTTTAATTTTTGTGGGGATTTGCTAAACTATACATTTTTGGAAAGGGTATTGTATAAGGATTCAGAAAATCCATGTTTCCATTTGCCCAGATGTCTATATGGCGGCCATATTGGAATTTCCAAAATGGCCGCCGTAAAATGTAGGTTTTGTAATATCTCGGCTTCTAAATAATCTGGAACATTGATTTTAACTTCTAAACCTACATTTTCAGGGTCAAGGAACCCAATGGTGGTAGTTACAAAGGTATCACATTTTACAACATTAACCCTTTGATGCATGAGTCGGTCGAAAATGACCTGTGCTAAGTTTTTTTAAGTATACAAAAACAAATTGAATTGATTATTTTTCATAAAATACTCTATAATAGACCATTATCTTATATCGATAAATATAAAATATCTATAAATTCAATTCAGGCAAAAAAATATATAATCTTATGCAAGGCCCTGTGCGACCACAGTTTTTCATCTCCTATGGCAACGGCCCTGTTCTTCAGACTTCTGATATTCTTCTGATATTTGTTGTGGACCACAAATAGCCTACTATATGAGAAGTGTCATCCTTCAAGGTTATTTTACACATAATTTGATACATGTACAGTAAGTATTATCTTCATTTTTACCTCAGAAAAGTTCAACAGGTTTTATGTCCAATTTCATTTAAGCTAGCTAACATTACTATTGTGTAATTCATGATGTCATGATGTTATCATCTTCGTAGGGCTGTGCAATTAATCGTATTTTAATCGCGATTACGATTATGGTTTGCGACGATTAGGAAAACAGCATAATTGACAAAATACGATTATTTTGCTGGGTGCGCTTTCGCCCCTCCCTAAAAGCCCACTCGGCCACGTGGGAGTGACATGTGTTGTGAGTGTTCAGCGCAAGCGAAGATGTCAGAACAAGAGCAGCAACTAGTTAAAAAGAAGGGTCGCGGGGAGATTCCCAGTCGATCGCGATATGTGTCTAAAAATAGAACAACAATATTCTGTTTTATCGTTAATGTCCTGTAACATAATGTTCCCGTGCCAGAATAATGCACTTGAACGCATCAAAGCTTTGTGATTGGCCGGCCTCACCCCATGTGTCCGGGCGTGGCTGGTGAGCAGTGCACTAGTTCGCTGACGTTGTCCGTGTCAACAGCATGGATGGTCAACAGGAGTGACAGTCCACACACACACAAGACCGCAATTATGGCAGAAGCAAAAAAGCCCAAAATATATAATTTTCACTCCAAGTGGGAGGATCATTATTTTTGTATCTATTCCAATTCAAAGTCCATCTGTCTCATCTGCAATGCGAGCGTGACTTTATCGAAGAAGGGTAATTTAGGAGCGGCATTTCAAAACAGTGCACAAACGCTACGAGACGGAATTCCCTCCTAATTCTGCCCTACGCTCCAAAAGGGGAGGGGCCTGAGAGCACAGCTAAATGCACAGCAGTCCATTTTCACCAGGCCCAACAACAAGAGCAAGGCTGCTACCAGAGCATCTTATCGCGTCAGTCACGTTCTAGCGAAACACATGAAGTCTTTCGAAGACGGCGAAGTTATGAAAGAAGCTTTCCTGGAGGCTGCGACGTGCTTTTTGGGGACAGTAAAAATAACAGCAGCATTTCAACAGGTTTTTGATATAATAAAAACTCAATTTAGATACTGTTATTAATCTGCTGTAAGTTTTAGTTTGTTTGAATTTATTCATGATAATTATTGTACAAAATGGTATAAGAATGCAAACATTAAGATCTGTTCTGTTTAAATTGATTATAGTCTATCAGTTCAGAAACTAGTGTTGCTTGCATCCTATTTTAAAGGCATTTCTTTTTATACTCTAATAAAATGCAACAAAAAATGGGTTTGATTCTATTAATGTTGTCTTTTTTATTGCACTGTTGCTGCAGCAGATTACTGTGTAGCTTCAGATCTGAGTTGTCTTATTAGTAAGCCTAATTTATACTTTTGTAGCAACACTATTTTTATATAATGGCAAAGAAAGGGTTCTTCAGAGTCTTTTCTTTTTTTCCTGTGTCATATGTGGCAGCACTGCCACAAGTTCCTCTTCAGAGAGGGTCTTCAGTACAGGTGGCAATATCGTCACCTGCCTGCGCTCATCTCTGAAACCAGACCATGTAAACAGGCTGGTATTTCTTGCAAAAAATCTTTAAGAGATGACATGAGCAGCCCTACCAGCATTTGCCAAGGTGGCCTAAACATTTTTATTTGGTCTTAAATTGTAGTTCAACATTTATTTCCTGTTACTTCTGGACCATGACGGTTGGCCAGCCTTCAACGTTTAACTGAGTGGAATATGTTGAATATGTTTTACCAAAATGTTGGCTATATGTTAAGGCGTTTTCAGTAGGTTGTGACAGTGCACTGCAACATATTTGATTTCATTTATTTTATTTTTATTTATCATATTAATATATGTTTAGTATGGTTTTGGAAGTGCGCTCCAACACATTTATTGATCTTGTTTATTGGTAAAATATTATTTGTTTTAAAGTTCAATAAATGGTCAATGAATAATCGTCAAAATAATCGTGATATCAATTATTGACCAAATAATCGTGATTATGATTTTTGCCATAATCGCACAGCCCTATCATCTTGTATCATCGAATTAAAATACAGTAGTTTGCTAATACTAGTTAGCTAACTAAATATGCTAGCTAACAATACTGTATAGTTTGTGTCATGACTGTTGTTTGAGAGATGTGGTATCATCCAATTAGCCTACTTTATAGTTAGCTAACACTAGCTAGCTAATAACTAAGCTAGCTAACATTAGTGTGTGTGTGTGTGTGTGTGTGTGTGTGTGTGTGTGTGTGTGTGTGTGTGTGTGTGTGTGTGTGTGTGTGTGTGTGTGTGTGTGTGTGTGTGTGTGTGTGTGTGTGTGTGTGTGTGTGTGTGTGTGTGTGTGTGTGTGTGTGTGTGTGTGTGTGTGTGTGTGTGTGTGTGTGTGTGTGTTCCTTCTGATGTTCTCCTGATATTTGTTGTGGACCACATCGGCCCTACAATATCAGAGGTGTCATCCCAAGAAGATTATTGTACACAGCTTCTGATACATGTACAGTAAGTATTATCTTCTTTTTTACCTCAGAAAATATGTAATTGGCTAGATTTCAGCAACATAACATGTAAGTATTGCTACTGTAACTAAGCTAGCTAACATGAATTATAGTGTGTCATTCATGACTATTGTTTGAATGAGTAGCGTATTAATCATCTATCAATTTAGCCTGTCAACTAGCTTGACAATATTTTCTGTCTTTGCAGTTTCTAAGCATGAGTGGAGAGTCACAAGGTAGAGAAGCATCATGTCAAGCCGAGGAGTCCGTTAGCTGGAAGCAGTGCATTATCTGCCAGTCTGATGATGACAAGAAAGGAGTCCTGGTGCAACATCCTAAATTAGAGTCCTATGGACTCGTACTGCAGGCAGTTCAAGAGAGGGCCAGTTTGAATGATGGGGACTACGTCCAAGTCCAAAGGCGACTGCAAAACTGCACACTAGAAACATTGTGCACAGAGCAGGCAGTCTGGCATCGCTCCTGTCACTCAAATGCAACTAACAACGACCAAATACAATGTGCAAGAGACCGCAATGCACACGCTCTAACTAGAGGACACTACACTGCCAAAAAGCGTGGACAGAAAAGAGGAAGCACAGAAATTGATGATCCAGACCTCTCAACATTTAGTTTTTCATCGCCATTCACACGATCCTATACAAGTCCACTGAATAAGGAACAGTGCTTCTTTTGTCAAAAGGACGATGGCCAACAACTGTACCAGGTCAGGACTGAGAATGCTGGTAAACATCTTAAAGAGGCTGTGGAAATATCCCATAATACTGCACTGAAGACCAGGCTGAACACCTGCATCTCACCAGGTGATGCACATGCGATTGATGTCCAATACCACAAAGTTTGCTGGAGAAAAAATGTGTTCCATGCTCTTCGAGAACCTAGCACTAGCACTAGCAAAACTGCCAAAGAACCTTTCCTACAAAAGTCAAGTCTGCTTGAGCTGATTAACCTTATTGATGTAGAAACACAAAACCAAGCATACCTTAGCATGGATGACATTGAAACCACATATATCAATATGCTTGGTTCAGAAGTATTGGAAACTCATCTACCTGCATTCAGTAGAAAGTGGCTGAAAGAAAGAATCCTCACTGCTTTGCCACACTTGAAGTCTGTTCGTCAAAAAGACAGAAGGAAGCCAGCAATCCTCTACTCCCCATATGCATGTGAAGAGGACATGGTTAATACTATGACAACAACTGATAAGAAGAAGGAGGAGAACAGCATGAAGACAATCTACAAAGCAGCACAGGTGATAAGGAAAAGCATTGCAACCTTCACCAAGGAGAGAAATGTCTTACAGGTATCTAGTGACATTACCGATGTTCCAGCTGAACTATACACCATGATCCATTGGATAATGGTTGGGCCTGCTGAAAAGCTGGAAACTGAAAGAGGACCAGAGTTGTTGACCGAGTCACACTGACGGTGAGCCAGAATATCATGTATGGGTTCAAATCCAGTGCACAGGTAAAGTACAAGCCAATCAGTGAATCAGCATCATTTAGGTCACCCCATGCACGAGAGAACCCACAGGTTTTGGGACTGGCACTGACTATCCACCATGACACACGCAACAAGAAGCTGATGAATCTGCTCAATGCTCATGGCTACTCTGTTTCACATGGTCGTGGCCTTCTCATGGAAACTGCTCTGGCCAATGCTGTTGTAGAAAACACCAGAGCGCACCAAGGCCTCTATGTACCACCATTCCTGAGGAAGGGGACCTTTGTATTTTTTGCAGCTGATAACACAGACTTTGCCGAGGACACTCGTGATGGGAAAGGAACCACCCACGGGACGATCACTGCAGTGTACCAGAAGATTGATCCTTCTAAAGAACCTGTTGCAGAGTCTCTCATCATAGGTGATGCACAGAGTCTATCAGTCACTCCCTACCATGTAGACATACTTCACTGTGACAAGCCAACACCGCAGCATGCCAAGAGGTCAGAACAGTTTGCCATCAGCAGGGGGATCTCAGAATCCTATCAGCTGACACATCTAGGATGGGTTGTTGCATCTGCATTATCCAGAATGAAAGCAGGAGAAACTTCCAGCAATATTCCAGGCTGGGCAGGATACAACTCACTGTTGTCTGAAAGCCTTCCCTTGACACAGGTTGGAGCCTTGCCACTATTACCAGAGGTGGCACACGAGTGGTCAACTCTGTTGACTATAATCATGCAAGCAAATCAGCTGAGGAAGTTGGCAGTTGGGGAAGATCACCCCACAGTCATTACCTTTGACATGGCCCTCTATGAGAAGGTGGTGCAGCTCCTAGATGCCAGACCTGACCTGAAACAGATGGTTGTTCCCAGACTGGATGAGCTGCATGTCGTCATGGCTGCCCTCAGAGCTCTTGGTGCCTCCATGGAGAACTCGGGTATAGATGATGCCTGGATGGAAGCAGATGTGTATGGTCCTGCCACAACAAGGCAAATCCTGAAATGCACACACTACAAGCGAGCTCTCCATGCCCACATCTACTCGTATGTAGCACTCTATGAAATGGCTCTGGAGGAGTTCTTCAAGGACAACCCACAACTGAAATATGTGTGCCTGAAGGCAACAGAGGGAGTAGAAGCTGCCTGCTCGGAGGGTAAAGACATCAAGGCTGAATCTGTGAAGCAAGTCAACAGGACCCTCCTGGAAGCCACTGCTGAAGTCATCACAGCATTCCAAGAATGGGAGGAACAAAAATCCCAGCATGCAATGTTCAAGGCCATGATGAGCTACCTACATCGGGTGGAAACAATCCTGTTCTTCGTAGCAGCAACTCGGAATGCTGACCTTGAACTCCATCTGCAGGCTGGAGAAGCACTGAGCAAGCTGTTTTTTTCCATGGATCGCATCAAGTACAAAAGACTCTGGCCAAGATACATCGCAGACATGCATGACTTGAGGATCAATCACCCTCAGACCTGGGAGGAACTACACGCAGGTAATATATCCGTCACCAAGAGTGTCATTCCCTTTGTGTCTGTTGGGGCAGACCACGCATGCGAACATCTGAATAAGCTGATGAAGATTCGCTCTGGGATTATTGGCATCTCTAACAATGCCAATGCCAGACAGAGATTTGTCATGGTCACACCAGAACTTTCACGTCTGTCGAAAGAGTTCAAGAGTCAATTTGACATGGAAGCTGACAGAAGCACAGAGCACCATGAGCTTGGGCCAAGTGCAGTCAAGAGGGCACATGGTACAATCGACAAGATCAAGGCAGCCATACTCAGTCATGGAAACCCCTTTACCACTGAAGGTGACAAGCTGTACAATGTAATCACACTTGCCTACATACCAGATGAGTATGTACCACAGATCTTGAATGCTGATGTCACTGGCCAGAAGTTGTATGAAGACTACGTGTCAGAGCGGATCAATGGAGATGTCAGCTTCTGGGCCCCTGTGAAGAAAGTGAACAATAAGATGTTCCTGTCTGGGAACAAGAAGATTACAGTGAAACTCAGAGACAATACTGTGGATCTGAAGGAGACCAAGGACCTGTTTGCAAGGCTGATGGTACTTGCCAGGTCAAACCGAGACATAAACCAGAAAGAGGCCATAGGAAACTATGAATTTACTCTAACACCAAGGGCACTGTTTGCTTCTAATGGAACAATCCTGCCATGCCATGACAAGTCCAAGTTAATCAGTCTCCTTGAGAAGCTGACAAGAGAAGATGTGCCCCATGAAGACCATCAGCTGCCTCAAACTGGAAGTACTACCCACCAAGATGCAATGGATACAGGATTCATAGACACCACATCTACTGATCAGCCAAGTCGAAAGATAGCACTGGTGGACGGCATGGTGCTTGTGCAGAGGCTGAGCAAAAAACCAGCCACTGTAGTGACAGTCAAGGATCTGAGTGGCTGCTTCAATGACAGACTGATGTCACTAACAAGAGACTATGATGAAATCATCCTTGTGTTCGACACATACAGGACAGATTCTCTGAAGAGTGCAACCAGAGATAAACGAAGACAAGGAAAAGCTATCCAGTACCAAGTCAGAGATGACACCAACATCAAACACATCCCACTGAGCAGGTTCCTCTCTCATGACCAGACGAAGGCCGATCTGACTGATTATCTTGCAGCCAAAATTCTAGAATACAACAGGGGATCCTCCAAGCTGATCATCACGTCAGCTTCTGGGAACACTAGGAGCAACAAAGACCTGCTCTTTGAAGAAAATAACCACGAAGAAGCAGACACGCTGCTGATCCACCAGGCTGTGCTGGCATCACACCGAAACCCAGCTGATGCACAGTTGATGTTCTTCTCACCAGATACAGACATTCTAGTGCTAGTCACAGAAAACTATGATCTCTTGCTGATGAACACATCGATTTCGATGGCCTCTGGTGTTGTGCAGATTGAACCACTGTGGCGAGCTCTAGGTAAAGAAAGAGCAAAGGCATTGCCAGCTTTCCATGCATTCACTGGGGCCGACAACACAGGCAGATTCTCTCTCATAGGCAAGGCAACCTGGCTGCAGATCTATTTAAAAGCGGACGAAGATATTATCAATGCTCTGCAGATGCTTTTGGATGAAGCAGAAGTGGCGGAAGGAATGCTGTCCACTCTGGCTTCCTTTGTATGTGCAGCCTACTCACCCAAGGGTATCAACATAAAGACAATCCCTGAACTACGATGGCATCTCTTCTGCAAACACAGGGCAGAGAGTGACAAGCTCCCTCCAACACTTGGAGCGCTGAAGCAGCATATTTTGAGGGTCCATGTCCACAGGCAGCCATTGCTCTTCAGGATCCGCAGCTGGACCCCCTGCACAATGGGTACTTCAGAGACTCGGATGGCATGAAACCAACAACCACAGAGGTCCTCCCAGCCCCAAAGGCCATCATTGAGATGGTCCAATGCAGATGTAAATCTAATTGTTCTTCTGGAAGATGTTCGTGCAGAGCTAATGACTTAGCCTGTACTGATATGTGTCATTGCAGTAGCCAGTGCCAGAACGACGATGATTCCCATGCCGTGATGGATGAAAGTGTTGATGATGATAGTGATGATGATGCATAGATGTGTATACATTTAGATGTCTAATTAAGAAGGTTGCTTATTTTCTGTGGTCACAAAATGTGCATGTCATGATGATACTGAAGTTCACAATTTTAAACTCAGTTTAATCAGTTATTGTCAATTATCTGTTAAGTCCTCAATAAAAGTTATGTTAACATGCAATTTAGTGAGTTCTACCTCATTATTGTTGGCACCATTGGATTCCTTGATCCTGAAAATGTGGGTTTAGCAGTTAAAATCAATGTTCTATCTTATTTAGAAGTCAAGATATTACAAAACCTACATTTTATGGCGGCCATTTTGGAATTTCCAAAATGGCCGCCATATAAACACCTGGGCAAATGGAAACATGGATTTTCTGAATCCTTATACAATATCCTTTCCAAAAATGTATAGTATTGCAAATCCCCACAAAAATCCCACGAAAGTATATAGTGAACCTGACTATTATGCTCTTTTGAAAGTTCTGCTTGTGGCGTTGTGCCCGAGCTATCATTAGCATTTGAGTCCCAGCTTTGGCTGTGTCCCTCATTCAATTTAACCCGTTTTTCGTTTAGATGCAGAGAGTAAGGTAAGTACTTTCTATTTATTAGACGCTATTATCTGGTCTTAACATTTGTGTTCTGACTTGGTCGCTTGATTGTTAGCAGCAGCCGCTTGGCTAACACCTTGCTGTTAAGCTTAACTATTAACTCAGCCGGTGAGGGCAGTGCTCCCGCTCCCGGTACATAGGGTTTGATTGCAGTAGCGCTAGATCGTTGTATTACTGCTCCTAGTACTAGACTCCTAGCACTAGGATGATATGCAGAGAACATCTTCACTGCGGGTGCTGTGTGCTCCGCATGTGCGGTTACTACTGTAACCATGGCCTACGGTTCTATGCGGGCTGTTCTCTTTCTTAGAAGCTAATTATCTGGTCTTATTACATGGCTTAGTTGAATACTCGATTCTGATTGGTCAATTCAGAACACGTGACACGTTGTTAATACCGAACAGACAGACCGGTGTCAAGGACTTATTGACCGTTGTTAAGGACGCTCACATCTTCAGAAAGAATTCCGGTCGATTTAACTGTATACAGTTGGGCCGAAAAGCAAACTGCATGCAGTTTGCTTTTCGAACTGGGACATGAAAAACAGCGCAGAAGTAACGGGGCAGAAACCCTCCTTTTTACGCAGCGGTCCAGACATAGACATCAAACGGCGACACATATTCAGTTGCCAGTTACTTTGTCATTAGGGCAGGGATATCTAGATACTTTCCAAGGTTTGACATCATGAATTGTGCTACTTTTAAAGCAAGCAGCGATGTTTTCAAATCTGTAATCAAAAAGCTCCTCAAAAACGCAAGCAGTTACCGTTGGCTTTTCAAACTGACA